GAGGGCTGCGGGGTCGGAGGGCTGCGGGGCAGGAGGCTGCGGGCCCTGCTCCCGGCCGGGCCAGGCCGCGGGGCCCGCCCGCAGGGCTGCGCCCGAGGGCTTGGAAGGTGCCAGTCACCCCGAGCAGGGGGACGGCAGCTTTCTGGCCTCTCCACACTCCAGTTTGTGTTTTCAAACAAAACTTTTCACGCCCCGTTCTCTAGAAATCCAAACAGATGGGAAAATTTCCGTTACTTTTTCCCTTGAAAGCTGCTGAGCAAACACAATCCGTTTGCTCCAGATGAGTTAATAATTTCACAGGCTTTGCTAACGCAGTTGATCATCGCCAAGGTTCTGCCGTGTGTCTGTGTGGACAGATGGCCTCGGGGGTTTGCAGCGGTGCCGGGAGCGTGTTCTCCCTGGCTGAGCTGGTCGCAGGTCCCACAGCTCTGCAGGCTCCCTCTCACCTGGCCCTGAGCAGGCTGTGCCTCTGCAAGCTGAGACCCATCCTGTGTTTAATCCAGACCGTTTCATATGAAAGACAAGCCCTGGTTGAAGTCCACATTTTTAATGTTTTGCTTCATTCCTCATTCAAATGTGTGTAACATCTGAGGGCAAACAGACACCTCTACAGCTTTTTACACCAAACACATGCTCCTAATGTATGATCTCAGTAGCCTTCCAGGCTCTCTGTAAGATGGGCACTTGCAAACGAACTCAAGACTCATGTCATCCCTGCTTTTTGTGGTGAGGAATGGTGCCAAACCGTTCCCTTGATGGTGACCAGCTGCTGTCTCACGGATTAGACTTGGACAAAACACTTTTTGAGGGACAACCTGCCTCTTACCCTATTTGTGTATGGTGATTAGCACAACAGGTGTCCGTGGCTAGGATCTAAGCTGATGCTATAATGTATATAAATAATAATCCCACTGGTCTCATTTTTAGATCCCCAGTTACAAAACACTGTAGACCATAGAGTGACTTGGATCCCACAGATGTCTCTGGGAAAGCACAGAACTGAACTGTGGTCTCTCATATCCTGCTGCAATAAGCAAACCTCTGGAAACCATCATTGGTTTCTAGTCAGAAAATTGAGGTTGTTCTCCAGAGGAAGAATCTGCAACTTTAAGGGGGCTGATGACTGGGACATTTAAAACAAGGCTGTTTTTTAAAAGAAAAGATCTAAGAAAGTATTTTCAGACACAACCCACATCAGGATAATCAGTCTGAAATGAGAGGAGAATGTTAGCCCGTGCCACAACCAATCAAGTATCCGGACGGCCACAGTTGTTTGGCCTATGCTAGAAAAAATATTTACAAACTTTGGCAAGGAAATGAAAGCTGACAGTGGTCATCTGCTTCAGGGTCAAACCTGTTGTGGTATTTTGTTTTATGTTCAAATATAACCATACCATGGTCTCTAATGACTGGACTACTTGAGAGGTTTATGTAGAGCCCAGGGCAATAAAGCCACTAAAAATACCCCATCCTTGGGGAAACTGGTTTTTTTCTTCCTCTCTATATAGCCCATATTACACTGTGTAGGCTACATAAACTTAAAAATCTGTACGAGAGATTATGTTCACTGAGCATTGCCCATAACGGAGAGATTTCTAAGTGTATGTATTAGTTCTGCTCAAACTTTATCAGAAAGCCTCTTCTATTACAGTTTTGGTTTTTCCCCCTTAGGAAAAATCACAAAGTTCTCAATATAAATGATGAAAAATAATAAATACTGAACCAATTTTGGCACCAACAGGAGTTGGTGAGATGAAAGAGTACTTGATTGGAGGCCCTATTAAGTGCTGACATGTTTACAAGCCACACTTTATTACCAAACATACCAGGAATTTGGCAGTAGGGAAGCCTCAATCTGTTCAAGATTAATAAAGTGAGTACACTCCTACCCTTATCTCCTTTAAGGCTATAACTGCTGCAGTCTGCCTTTCTCATGAGATAGTACAAACTGGAATATGAACTCAAAGAAGAGGAGAACTCTTACCAGCAGCCTGGCATGACTCTCTAATATGTCGAGGGGGACTTAACATGCAAAAATGCAGCTATTCTCAGTTATCAGGAGCTGATTGGATCCCAGCACAATTTGAGTTTCCAACACTGAATGTCACCCTTCGGAGCTGGAAGGTGCAGATGAGGTCACAAAAGGGAGTTGGTGGAAGGACAGGGGGTGGGGCAACCACAGGGCTTTCTCATCACACCTGGTGAGCCCCTGCAGGAGAAAAATGGGATTGTCCTGTTTATAAACAATATAAATCCAGAGCACAGATCTTACAAGTGGCACTGTTCCTCCTGGAGATGTTTTAATCATAGCCAAGTAGCTGTGCTTTTTGTGTGTAGGTGTGAGGAACTCACAGGTTCTAGGAGATGGCTGTGAACTCCTCATCTACAGAAGAGAAAAAGGAAATGGATCCTACACTCTCTGGTGGTGACATGAAGGACGAATCTGAGGATGCAGGTGTGGTGTTTAGTTCCTAGCAAACCCACTTCAGAAATAGTCAGAAGTGGCTGAAGGAAAACTGCCAGCAACCAAAATGGACAGGCAATCCCAGCTCCCAGGCAACTCCACCCAGCTGCTCCTAATGCCCACAGGAGATGTCAGAACTCAGCCCCTTAGGAGACCAGATCCTGTTTGAGCCCTCCATTGCCCAGG